CCTCCCTTCTTCCTTCCTCATTCTCTCTCTCTCTCTCTCTCTCTCTCTCTCTCTCTCTCTCTCTCTCCCCTTTTCCAAGACTGCTGGTTGCTGACAGATCAGCAGTATATGGTAGAGCCCAAGAGTCCCTAATTGTCACTTTCTGCTTGGGGTACAAACATGGTCCCTCGATGGTAGAGTAAGAGAGTAATTCTTTTGGGGAAGTCAGACTAAGGGGTCAGCTGTGTAACAGTACCTTGCTGGCACACCCTGACAAGTTCATTCTGTGCACAAAGTTTCAAGTGTTACTGGTTTTTTTTCTGATGGAAAGGTCAGTGCCAGGAACAAGAGGAAAGATATTTTACTTAAGTTTAAAGTTAAAACCATTTATGTAAGTTTCCAGTAAGCCCAAAAGTTCTTCAGAGGTTAACTGATGCCAATAAGGTAGATAAAAAATAAAACCAGGGCTGGAGAGATGGATCACTGGTTAAGAACACTGGCCGCTCTTGTAGAGACCCCAGATTCTGTTCCCACTATCTACCTGGTGGCTCACAGACATCTATAACTCTAGCTCCAGAGGATCCAATGCCTTCTTCTGGCTTATGTGAGCACCAGGGACAAATATGTAGCCAAAACTAATACACATATAATAAAAATAAGTGAATAAATTAGTAAATCTTTGTGCTCACTTTGGTAACACAGACTAAACCTCAGACCCATACAGAGAACATGTCCCCTGTGCAAGGATCACGCAAAAACCCATAAAGCATTCTATTAAAGAAAGCAAGCCCAATCACTTTCACTCAGCAACAGAGAGAACACCTAAGAACCCAGGGTAATGGCAGGCCCCTGCACCTGTAGTACCAACTACTTAGGAGCCTGAGGCAGGAGCATGGCCTGAACCTCCAGGGCTCAGGACATTCTGCCCAAAACACCAATCAAAAACAAAACAAAGGCTGGGAAATCAGTCCAGGGGTCAAAGGCCTGTACTTCTCTTGCAAAGGATCTTCTTCCGGTTCCCAGCACCCATGTGGGGAGACTCACCGCTGCTTGGAACTCCATCTCCAGGGGCATCTGGCACCCTCTTCCGGCCTCCACGGGTACTGCCCTCACCCACAAACACCCATACAGAGATGCATACAATTAAAAATAAAACCAAAAATCTCTACACATGAAAACAAAACAAAAAGCCAAAGAGAAAATGGAATCCCCATTGCCAAAACTCTTTAAAGCTGTTCTCTTGGTTATTCATGAGACTTTTACCACAAGAGGCTCCCAGGACAGGGTTGCCACTGCCTGGTACGTGTGAGCTATACCCTGGAAGAGAAATGAGATCTTGACTGACTGAGTCACCAGAGGCCTTTAGAATATCCTGGCCCCAGAAGGAGCCACACAGAGAAAAAACACAGAGTGAGACACCAACCCAGTTTGAGTCTGCCCTCGGAGTTGGCATTGGTTGCTGCGCTGTTTTGGGGAAAAAAAAAAAAAAAAAAAACGCTGGAACTCCATTCCGCAGGACCCGTGCTGTGGTTGCCTGCTGAGGGCGCTCTCCCGAGGAGAGAAAGCCTTCTGTGGTTTCAAAGAGAGCTATCATGTGACCTGACTGGAAGGCAGTGCTCCTGAACCTCAGGCTTCTGGTTCTTTTGGGCAATGTGCAAACAAAGGAAGCTGTCTCTGAGGAAACGGGCGTCTGTAATGACGCTGGAGCTGCACCTCGCTTGTCGGGAACCTGTGAGAAAGAGAGGCCCTTGTCTGTGGGAAGCACACTGCGATATCTATGTCACCACGGTGAGATGGTAGAGACGAGTGAACCAACGATGTACGTACATCGCATCCCTCATCCCTCATCCAATCCTATCATCTGTACACCGCATCCCTTACCCAATCCTATCATCTGTACACCGCATCCCTTACCCAATCCTATCATCTGTACACCGCGTCCCTTACCCAATCCTATCATCTGTACACCGCGTCCCTTACCCAATCCTATCATCTGTACACCACGTCCCTTACCCAATCCTATCATCTGTACACCATGTCCCTTACCCAGTCCTATCATCTGTACACTGCGTACCTTACCCAATCCCATCTGTACACGGGTGCCTTTATCTTTGTATGCAGAGAAAATGAAGCACCACAAACATTCATGCTTGAAAATCCTATTGGGTGCTAGATTTCTTTTTCAATTGTATAGTAAGACAATGTGTGCCGTCACTTTGCAGTGAACTGTCACCACAAAGTATATTTACACCCTCCGTCCTTGGATTCATTTATTGGCAGTTTTTCTTACAGATACTGTCAAGCCCAGAATCTTGAAGTCTTAGCCACGGTTCCCTTCTGGATGTAGCTCACTTGGCACAGTGCTTACACTGCCTGTTAGCTGGGCATAGTGGCATATCCCTGTAATTCCAGCTCTTAGACGGGAGAATCCGGGCTTCAATGTCATCTTTGGTTACATAGCAAGTTCCAGGCCAGCCTGAGCTACATGAAAACTATCCACATTAGAAGGAAGGATTCCACAGGTTTGCATGGCTCTTCTGGGAAGCTTGACAAATGCTGGTTAAATGTTTAGACATTTTTCCTTAAAGAACGGAGCTGAAATTGAGGCCTGTGGAGCTGCTAAAAATGTGGTCCTATTCTTTCATCCACATCTAAACACCGTGGTTGTATTTGACTTTTAGAAAGACCACCTTTAGATACACTGCTAGACAGACCGTCATGACTTAACTCTATTGTTTTCAAAGTCCTTGCAGGTAGCATTTATCTGTTCACAACTTTCTTTTTTTTAATATATATTTTATTTTATTTTACAATACTATTCAGTTCTACATAACAGCCACAGATTCCCTTGTTCTCTCCCTTCCTGCCCCCCTCCCCTTCCCCCCAGCCCA